TCCGGGTGTGCCGGTTGGGCGTCCCCGCCCAGCCTCGGGGAGAGGGGCTACCCCGCTGACCTTCGCAGCTGGCTGCCGGCAGCGACGGCAAACACGAGCATCCTGCACTGTGAGTGGGATCCCGCGGCCAACTCGGCCCTGAACGCGGATCCCGGTACAACGGGAAACGGCCATCCGGAAGACTAAAAGCGATGCTGTGGTTAAGCAGGGAGGAAGGTCTGCTCACACCCGACTCACCCTGGTGCGTCTCAGAATCCACCACGGAGGAGAGGACGAGGGCCGTGTGCAGGGTGTGCACGCAGAGGCCTCTGACGGCTGTTCTCTGAGCACGAGGAAGGACCGCGTGTGGGAGAGGAAACGTCCCCGTGTGCCAGGAGGAGGCAGGCAGGCGGCCACTGCACTCCGAGGGCCAGCTGGGCACAGAGCTGGGTGGGAGGTGACCGCGGGGTGGCAAGAGCTTGGGATGTGGGTGCTGGGAAGGCAGGCGGCATTCTGGGAGATGTTCACGGAGACCAGCTGGGCCCCAAGGACGGTCATCGTCCACGGGCACAAAGCTGCAGGTGGTGACCACGGTGCTGCCTGTCACACATCTTACCCTACTGACATCTGACCAGAGTACGACATGGCCAAAGGCCCTGAGCAGGAGACGAGGACTGTCCCTCTGTGAACTGGCAGAGGGCTGGAGCAGGCCGGGCCAGGCCGGGGTAAGTCCTCTGAGTGGGGTCACCAGGCCGGTTGCGGCTCCCCTGGACAGAGCGATCCAAGAGACGGTGAAGTGGAGAGCTGTCCTACACTCTTCCCACCCTGACCCCCGCTCTTTCTTTTTTTAATACTTTTTCTGAGATGTCCTCGCCCTTCTCAGGGAAAGCACCCTGCTGTGATATCAGGACACTGACATCACACTGGGCCATCAGGCCACCACGCAGCATTCCCGCAAGCTGCTGACCTGCACGGAGACTCCAGGTCTGGACCCCACGCCCTGGTCAGGGCGGTGCAGCCCCCACGCAGCCCACTGTGGAGGCCCGCATGGCCGTTCTTCACTGGGGCTTGGCCATCCCGTTACCCAGCCCAGACTCGAGTAAATGAGCGAGAGAAGGCCCATAGCGGAAGGCGGGGAAGGCGGAGGGAGAACAGTGAAGGCACGCGCTGTCCTCGCGGGGCGCCCGGCCACCCGGGAACGGGGTCAGGAGGACTCCTCCAGCGCGTTGACCACCTGCTCAAGGATGTCGGGGCAGTGGTCTGCGATCTGCTGAAGGATGGCGTTGGCAAACTCCTGCAGCTCCGCATTGTCCTGCTCACCCTTCTCTAACTCCTTCTGAAGCTGAAAGGGAAAGGGAGACAGACTTCAGGGAAAACTGTAACACAGCGCCATCTGCGGAGCTGAGACTGCCACTTGTCAGCCGGGAAATGACAGGGGCGCTTTCTACGTGAGATCTTGTGGCTGAAATGAACAAGGAAGCGGAAAAGCCATTATCAATGTGTCTTCATGAAAACGAGGCCCGCGTCAGCGATGAGCCCAAGGCCCACCGTGAGTGTCTGCAGAGCCCGGTCCCGGGGCTCCTGCCTACGTGGCACGCTCGCGCCACAGTGGCCGCTTTCTGCTGTGTGGGTGCGGGGGCACGGACGTGCTCGGGGGACCCGCACCATGCCTGGGTCCTGCCCTGGGAAAGCTTACGAACTGAAGGCCCTCTCCGTCCCTGTGCCACTTTCAGTCAGTGTCGGACCCCTCAGCTCAGGTCTGCTAACTTAGACAAAGAGGTTACGTGGGGAACGGGAGACAGTTTGTGTGCAAGTTCAGTGTGTCTCCAAGGTCCTGGTTTTAGCACCCCGTTGCTGTTCCTTAAAGGACTTTAACCAGAATTCATTCATTCATTCGTTTTCTTTCTTTTTTCGAGAGAGAGATTTTTGCTATAGGGTGTGTGTGCTTGCCAGAGAGACAGAGAGCGAGAAGTTACCCTCTGGGTGATGGCCACGCCACAATCCCTTCTCCATTCTCCTCTTGGGGTTTTAGGCACGCATGCACATGTGCCCAGCGTGAGTTTAAGCCACTGGGACTTGAACCGCGGCCCACCACAAGGGAGTCCAGTGACGTAACCGTCACGCCATCTGCTGGGCCCCATTCACTTGTTACGGTGCACGTGTGCTCACTAGAAAGAGACAGAGAGGGAGGAGAGGAGGGAAAGTGAGAAGTCATCCCCAGTGGGGTGGCTACACTGTAGTCCCTTCTCCGGTCTCTTCTGGGGATTTTGGGCACAGATGCACACGCACCAAGCTGCCAGGTTCAGGACTCCAACTGTGTAGTCGGTCATGTGGGGTCCCTATCCAGCCACCTTAACCTCCATGCCACCTGCAGGCCCTTAACCAGCTTACCGAGTGCTACCGTGTGAGAGAAAGGGGCAGGAAGTCCTATGGGCTAGTGCCGAGGGGAAGTGGGTCTGCTCGTCATCCTGAAGTCTGTGGGCTGATGAAGAAGATGAACAAAAGAGCAGTGGGGCTGGCAGGTGGCGTGTGGTTAAGGGCACTGGACTCCCACATGGCTGACTGCAGTTCAAGTCCTGGACCTGGCAGCTTGCTTCTCACTTTCTGTCTCTCTCACTCTGACTCCCTCTGGTCAAATTAAAACAAATAAATAAAGTTAAATAAAATAATTATTTTAAAAAATTACAACCCAGCACAGTAGGGCGAACATAGGCACGGGTGTGTACTGCAGGGGAGGCCTATGCATGACTGCTTCTCCTGGAGGAGCCCGAGATCTCACTAGAGGTACACAGCATCCAGATCTTGACAGCTGGAAAGGAGTCTCAGTGGGAGCAAAGCAGCAGAGGCTTCTAGGCCGATGAAACACGCAGACGCCCAGAGCAGGACAGGGCTCGGCAGGGGCCTTGCAGAGAGAGGAGTGTGCGGAGCGGCTGGAGGACAGGCCAGGGGGCTGGGTGGGAGACGGCAGGAAGTGACGCCGGAAGACAGGCGAGGCCAGACTGGGTATGTGAAGAGGGGGAGTTCAGATTTAAAGGAATCTGGCTTGAAAATAAAAGCCAAACTAAAAAACAAAAACAAAACCCAAAAACAAACAAAAAAGAAAATCCAGGAGTTTTCACAGCAGAGAGACGATCGCCTTCATTTTCTCAGAATGGGTCTTGCAGTAGTACGGTGGTTAAGGCAGCTGGATCCCACATGGTTCGAGTCTCGCACCTGGTAGCTTGGAAAGTACGCCCGGCAGGTGTGCACGCGTGCCCAAAATCTGAAAGGAGGGCAGAGAAGGGCCGTGGGGACAGTGCCCCTGGGGTGCTTTCTTATTTTCCCTGTCTGTCTCTTCCCAGTGAGCACACTTACACACTGGTAAGTGAACAAGAGTGAGTCTGAAGTGAAGGACATAGATCTGGATCGGGCTACCGAGATTTCACTGCCAGCTTTCATGTCAGCAATTATTAACTTGCCAGAGCTGTGCCCCGAGAGGGACAGGGACAGAGGGGAGGGAGGAAGCACCTGCCCTGGGCAGTGGTCGCGCCGTGACTCCTCCGTGTCTCCAGCCTATCAGGATTTGGGGCACGCTTGGTATGCTTTTTCAAGTCACCAGAGCCAGGACATATGGGACCTCGCTTCCTTAACCACGAAGCTATGGGGCCAACTGCATAGTTTCCTCGTAATATGCATTTCTCCACCAAGTTCCTAAAGGTCCCTTGTGTATACACGTAAAATTTAGATGCCAAATAGAGACGACACTGTAGGTGACTGGAAACTACTCCTGCCTTTCACCTGAGACGACGGACCCCCAGGCCCAGCCGCGGTGGTGCACGGAGCTGTGCCCTACTGCGTGAGGCTGGGCTGCGTGGGGAGCCTGGGTTTGGTTCTCGGCCCAGCCTGGACAGGCCAGGAGCAGTGGTGTGCACCGAGAGGTGGGGGCAGGAGAACCGTGGGGTGGCGAGACCCTGTCAACTTCTCTCTCAAAAATACCCAAACTGGGGGACCAGCAGTTGGCGTAATGGCTATGTCACTGGACTCCCACGTAGTCAACCACAGTTTGAGTCCTGGACCCGGTGGCTTAAAACTCACGCCGGACATGTGTGCGTGCGTGCCCAAGATCTCAAGAGGAGAACGGAGAAGGGATTGCGGCGTGGCCATCCCCCCTGGGGGGGTGATTTCTCGCTTTCTATCTCTCTGTCTCTCTCTGTCTGGTGAGTACACGCACCCTATAGCAAAAACCTCTCCAAAAAAAAAAAAAAAAAACCCAAACTGGGGTCAGCAGGTGACGTAGTGACCAGGGCACTGACTGTGGTTTGAGTTTTAGACCCAGCAGTTTCAAAACTACACTAGACACATGTGTTCACACACCCCGAATCACACTAGGCACATGTGTTCACACACTCTAGGCACGTGTTCACACGCCCCAAATCACACTAGGCACATGTGTTCACATGCCCAAAATCCCAAAAGGAGAATGGGAGAGAAGGGATCGTGGTGTGGCCATCCCTCCAGGGGGTGATTTCTCACTTTCCCTCTCTCTGTGTCTCTGTTTCTTGCTGGTAAGCCCATGCACCCCATGTCAGAAACTCTAAAAAAACCCCCCCAAAACAAAAAAACCCACTCATGGTATATATGTCTTCACAGCAAATCCCAAAGGCTCCTTTGGATTTGATAATCAATTCTAAAATTATCCTAAAGTGTAAATATGTAAGAAGAGCCAGGAGCTTGCTTTAAAGGAAGAAGAGTGACGTAGACTTGTACCAGATGATAACACGCTATGAAAGTACACGCATCACGGGAGTGACGGGTCTAACGCGGGCTCAGTGCGGTTTCGGATAAAGCCAGGCAGCGCTTGAAATCCGCGCTCCTCTGCCAGCGGGGCCCGTCTGCGGTTGGACTCCCGCTCTCGCCATCCGTGTGTGGCAGTTTCAAACTGGCTAAAGATCTGAATTTTAAAAGGATACTGTGGGAAGTACCGAGAGGAGATTGAGGAGCGTATTTTATAGTCTTTGCTGGGAGAGAGCTGAGCTCTTCGTATTTGATGTTTTGTCAGGGACAGCGAGTACCTCTAAATCAGAAGTTATAACAGGGTCAGCCTGGCAGCCTCGTGGTTACAGGAGCTGGATCCTACGTGGCCAACAACCTGCTTCAAATCTTGGCCCTCTTGGTGGAAAAATATGAGGGCATGCGTGCGTGCCAAAACTCCCAACGGGAGACAGAGGAGGAGAGGGATTGTGGCAGGACCCCCTGCTCCCCTGAGCACATGTGCCCTCTGCAGTGAGAAGGAAAAAATGTCATACAAAGGAAGGGCAAATGCGACTATAAAAATGTCAAACATCCGCACAGAGAAAGAAGACGTATCAACTAAAGTAAAAGTGATGGCTCGAGAAACAGTCACAGTAAGAGACATGGAGAACAGAAAGCCAAAGGATCGACATCAATATGCTACGAAGGGGTACTAGAAGTCTAAAAGACCATGACCTGGCAGAAAAGCAGGCAGAGGGTACGAACAGAAAAGACACGTCGGACATACTCAGCCTCATCAGCAGTGAAATAAATACGAAGTGGGAGCCAGGCAGTGGCACGACAGAAATGTGGCCGAGCCCACAGGGACAAGGACCTGGGTCCACGCCCCGGGACGTCCCTGACGACCCTGTGATCTGGGCTGCTGAGCGGGTGCACTGTGGTGCGGGATCCTGCGAGGTGCTCTCTCCTCACTCTGTCTCCTACATAAGAAGTACGTGGGGACCAGCAGTTAGCGTAATGGCTATGTCGCTGGACTCCCACGTAGTTGACCATGGTTTGAGTCCCAGACCTGGAGGCTTAAACTCACACTGGGCACGTGTGCGTGCGTACCCAAGATCCCGAGAGGAGAATGGAGGAGAAGGGATTGCAGCATGGCCATCCCCCCTGGGGAGTGATTTCTCTCTTTCTTTCTGTCTCTCTGTCTCTGTCTGTCTGGCGAGCGCACATGCCCTATAGCAAAAACCTCTCTCTAAAAAAAAAAAAAAAAAAGAATTGTGTGACTCGGCCGGCAGGCGGTGTGGAAGGCCAGGCTGACTGCGTGGTCCACATTCTGGATCTGGCGCCTTGAGAATCACACTGGGTGCCCACGCGTGCCCAAAATCCTGAGAGGAGAATGAAAGAGCAGGGATTGCGGCGTGGCCATCCCCCCAGGGCTTACTTCCTTTCCCCCCCTCTCTGATGAGCACATGTGCCTTATAGCAACTAAAAATAGAAACTAAAAGGAAGAAATAAAAAGCATGCATGTCAACCAGATGCAGTTCCCTTCCCCCGTCACGCTGGGAAGTTGCGAAGACTTGCTGCAGGTGCTCTCACACACTCTTGGTGGGGTGT